TGCGTTTACAGGGTTCGCGGACGCAAAGGTTGCTCGTGGCGTGCGTGTGCGTGCGTGGGCGTGCGCGCGCGTGCGCGTGCGTGCGTTCGTGTGCGCGCGGGTGCGTGTGCGGGTGTGCATCCGAAGTTGAGGTTGCCAGGCTCAGGCCCTCTTGCGCACACCTGTGGGACTGTGCAGGACTGTGCAGGCGTTTTCGAAGCTGTGCGAATCGTCGCATTTTGTTGTGCAAAGCGCCTGCGGATAGTCCCCCCAAAGGGCATCGCGGTTGGCGAAGCCTGCCAGTATAGGCCCTAATAATCAGAACGGACCCTCCGAACTGGAGGGTGACCTGACCCTGCAGAACGCAGGGGTTTCGACCCGAACCAAACCTTCACTTTTGCTTGGTTCCCCCCCCGCCAACGCTGTCCGTGTCGACCCACGCTGTCCGCGGGCTCCAAGGCTCTCCGTGGAGCAGGCCCAGTGGCCCGAGGCCCCCAGTGTTACGAAGGTGAAGCGTCCAGGAGGGATCCCAGTCCTGCCGGAGGTTTTACAGAACTAGTAGTATACGAATGGATGTATTCCTATGATTTTCTATGCAGATTTTACTGGCATGTCAAATAATGAGCCCAAATTCCACCAGATTCTGACTCAAACTAAACCTTTTTCCTTCCACCATGTCTTGATCTCTGCTCTTGTTTCTGGATCTCTGCTCCTTCCGCGTGTCTTCAAGGGTCCCTCATCTCCCACATGACTCCTCCCACTACAGAGGTTAAGTGACCTGAAATAGGACCCTACAGGGTTACCTATAGGATAATAGTCTATAGGGTTCTTCAACCTCAGGACCTTTGCTGGCGCCTTACTCCGGTCGACCTTGGTATCGACCTGTCGCGCTCGGCATCGGCATCGGTCCAGCGCGCCCAGGAGGAGCGCGAGCGTGGCCAGTGTGAGGGGAGCGCTCAAGGCCAACTGCAGCTGCGCCGTTTTGTTGGGCGAGGCCGTGGAGGGGGTGCAGAAGGTGCCCAAGAGGCTCAGCTGCGGTGAAGGTAGAAAGGTCCTGCGCAGCGGCGGGTTCTTTTCGCGGGGCACGTGGCTTGTTCGCCGCGCGGGCCACCAGCGGCTTCGACGCGGGCTGCGGGCGCTTCAAAGGCTGGCAGGGTCCGGTGATGACGTTTTAGCTTGGCTTGGGGGGTCTAGGCCAAGACCCCTACGCAAGTTGGGTGGTACATGGAAACCTCCCAGAGGTTCATAAAAGGCATCCCTTGCAGGGCCTTGGCATGGGTGGATGGAGGAACCTCACTGACGAGCTCGTATAGTTTCGTCCAAAGTGCAGCCTAAGTCCTTTCCACCTGTGCATTGTTTCCATCAAGTTGAATTTTTGATGTGGACACCACTCACCTTATGGAGCCTCACCTCAACCAATTAAAGACATCAATCTTTGCTCAATGTCACCAAACCATCCAACTTCAATGTGAGATATCTGGCGATCCTCTCGCTGGGTAGGATGTTTCAGACACTGGAGTCCAGCGGGATCCCAGTGTCCACCCTCGGATCCACCAGGTCACCGCTTTCTGCGTGTTGCAAGTGGAAGAGTGTCATGCCATGGCAAGTCCACCAAGTCCACCAGGTCTTTCAACCCGGTGGAAACCCGGGTAAGATCAACCGTGGAACATCTCCAGCACACTGTTTTCCCCTTGTTCCAAATCATCTACCAGCACCTTCCAAAAGGTCTCCTCTGGAGGCTTTTGTAGACTTAAAAGTCGCAGGTGGTGACCTGTTGGAAGGTCCTGGTAGGGTCCCATCTTTGCTTCAAAACTCCATCAACATCCATCAACTATCGTTCCCTAAGGATTCAAGTCGGTACGACTGGACCCTCCTGGCACCTACATAATAGTGTCGAACACATCACCGTACCTGAGAAGGTACGACTGGATCCCTAGGGGTTGTTGCATCTTCTTGAAAATGCCTCTATCATTCTTCCGATCAGTACCGCTTCCCTCGTATCTTCTTGTTTCACCCGCCCCAACTTCCCTCGCTCCTGTTCGCCATCTTCACCGATTGTGCCCGCGCCGTGAGCTCGCGCGCGAGCTCTGAGAGCAGCACCGGCAGCAGCGCCAAGGCCAAACTTGGATTTTTCTTATGCATGGAACAACAAGAACAAACACATACCCAAACACGACTGATGGGACTGGCATATTCCCCGCCCCATTGGGGTGGTGCCAGAGGGGTAAATTGATCGGCATATATGACAGACATGGAGTGTCTTCATCAGAAGAGCATGTACCCAGTTTGGGAGTTCGGGAAAATAACACCTCACCGTACGAAACCGCCAAAACCAAGCAACACGGCAAGGTCGTCGCTGGAGGTGGCGCGCAGGGCGGAGTCCCACTGAGTGGCGAGGTAAACGAGACCTGAGTTGCGGTGTGTGGCGATCGCTAGGAGCGTGCCGTGGTGGGAAATGAATTTCAAGAAAGCACGGGAAATATGAACAAACAAGGCTAAAGGGTGAACTTCATGAACCATTTTTCTCCTGAAGCTTTTCTCCTGTTTTTTCTTTTACTTTGGTGTATGAACATCCAGGAATGTTCTTCACACGGTTTCCATTCAAACCTTAGTGGGACTCTGATAATCTCAGCATGTCAAAGAGAATTCAAACTCACCTGACATCACGTAACCGAAATCGTGCCGGGCCAGTGAGGGCTAAGCTTCCTCCAGTGCACAGCGAGCTCTCCAAATCTCTCCAGGAACGGAGACTATATAGACCATACGTATGAGAACGATACCGGTATTTAAAGGATCATGATAATCCACGTTATAGTTACATATTCAAGGGGTATCAAAAAGACTTGGACATGGATCAAAACGAGATCAAAACATCCGCGATTCTTTGGAGGACACTGTACAACATCACTTTCGCTTGTGTAATCCGGATCCATTTACCTTTGCAGAAGGTGATTGGAGACACTGTTATGTAGGTTTGGAGGGTCGAAATACCTGCTACATGAGAATGTACTTGGATCCCTAGGGATTATACAAATAGAGGTTTCGCGAAAACAACATGAAACAACTGTCGTGGACGTGGAGGTAGAAACAACTGTCGCGGAGGTCCTGTTCTGCTCTGTTTTCAATGGTCAGAGACTCCAAAGAATGGAGTGAATCTCGAAGGAACCCTGATTATTGCACCTCAAACCTTGGTGAACTGTGCCTGGAACAGCATAATAAGCTATCAACAGCTATCATAAGCCCTTCAAGAGGCATCAACATCCACAGAAATCTATAGAAATAAAAAGGGAAATCATCAAGCACCAGCAGATACCAGCACTTCGACGTCGGGGTGGCCCAGAATCCGCTCAGGGGAACCATGGGGCACCAGAAATGCACTCCGGAAATGGAACTGCTAGCTGCTAGCACTGGCTAACACCGATTCTTTCGAAGGTGTTCAACTCATCTTCTCCACCCCCCCTCCCCAACTGCCACCAGGTGTCCCAGAGACATCAACGCGCTCATGCCGTCGAATGGACTGGACTCGGAACTCCTGCTGCGTTCCAATCATGCTGCGTGCAGCGTTTCATTCACGGCGCAGGTGATCGAACCGGTGGACAAAAGGCTGAGCCGTTTGGAAGAAACAATATGCATATTGCCCAGACACTCCATGTATGCCAGTGTCTGGGTTGAATCATATTCCCAGACACGACGAATGGGACTGGCAGTCCGGACTGCCGATCAGTTGACCCCGACTTCAACCACCCCTGGCCTGATCGGCAAATATGACAGTCCCATGGAGTGTCTGGGATTGGTAGGTCAATATTGGTCAATATGCGCCATATATATATATATAACGTATATAAGACTCCAGAGCTGTTTCGCTGGAAACACCTGGAAAGTCAATTTTACTTGAGCACATGAGCACTGCTCAAAACTCTAAACTGAGGCTGACTCCCGGTCTGTTTCCCTGGAAGATAAAGTTCTACCTGTTCCCTTCTTTTGCCACAGAGCGTGATCGCCAAAATCTTGGCATCTTGCTCCAGCTTGGAGCGGGTTTTCAAAGGGGTCGAGGTCTATGAGGCAGACAAAGATTCCAGTCGAATACCCTCCCATGGCACTGGAATATATGCCGCCCCATTGACCCCCTTTACAAATCAACCACCCCAAATATGTATGATTAGCTAGGTCAATATGTCATACATGCATGGACCAACGAGGAAATGGAGTGCACTGTAACACCCAAATTCTGAGCTTTTCCTTCCAGTGACCCACCAAGAGCTTTTCAAACTGTGAGGGTTCTCATGGACGTTCTTCGGTCTTCGTCAAAACTTAGGTAGGTCACAACTGGCCAGTTTACAAAGGATCAAGTCAGTATAGGTTTGCGTGCTAAAGTGGTGCAGTCCTAGTTCGTAACATATCGTGTTAAATGAACTCGCCCAGGACTTGTCCAGTGACCTTCTTGGAGTCGGCTCCAGCATCATCCAGTGAGCTATTGCTATTCCAAGCTCGGGACAAAGAACTAGTCATTCCGAGTGCCATAGCTATATATATATAATTCCCGTAATTCCTCTATAATTCCAAATCCATATGACTTCCTATCTTCAACACAAATCCATGGTGGCCAATGAACATGAACTTCCGCGACACGTTGAAAGCAAAGACTGCCCAGCCGATCCATCGGCCGAGCGGCGGGGTGACGAAGCGCACCAGCAGCTGATAGGAGTCGTCCTCCTGCAGGTGCCCGGGCGGGCCCCTGGTGGGCCCCTGACTGCAGACTGACTGAGGCGGCCAAAACTCCAGACACTAACCATGGGACTGGAATAGATAGTTGACCCATGAAACCACCCCAATGCGGGTAAATATGTCAGTCTAATGGAGTGTCTGGGTACTGACTCAGTAGTAGGGAGAGGTGGGCGATCTGGCTTGTTGGAGTAACATGATCGCCATGATCACATTATGGTGATTTACATCTTGCTACCGGCTTCTATTGAATGTTACGAGTTGTGATCATTGAGATATACTTGAGATGATTTGGCAACACAGATCAAACAAGCAAAGCAGCCGCGACTTTTTGTCTTGGTAGGCAACAAAGCCACCCCTCAAACCATGCATGTTTGGGGAGCTTCCCAGTGGAAAACAAGACAAATCACAAACATGTTCAAAAAGAAACAGGTCTTGTTGCACCTCCCATCAGAACAACAGAAAGCGGAGGTCGGCCAGGCCTTTGACCCCCCGCATCCTCTCCCCCATGCCAACAACGTCTAAAACCACGAACAAATAAGCCCCAAAGGGCCCAGGGCTGTGAATGGATCGGTGCCGAAAGAGCCACCAACTCGCACTCGCCGTGTTGTGATCACCACACACCCCGCCGGCGCCGATCAATTCACTCCACCCACCGGCTCTGCTCCGCTCGCTCCGCTCCGCTTCGGGGCCGCTCCTGGCGCAGGAGATGCAAGACCGTCTCCTGAGCCGAACGGAGGGAGACGAGATGGCCGGCGAACCGAAGGTCGAGTTGGCCTGGTGGAAAGTACCTGGAGTCGGACCTGTACATATGGGTATAGAGTCGCACCTGTCTTTAGATAGAGATCGATATAATATCCCATTTTCTGGAGCACTTTGAAGGGTCCACATAAAGGTTATACCATGTTCACCAGTTGAATTTGAGTGCAGTGTCACCAATCTCCCAGAAAGGTTGGGCAGGTTCTCCACTCTTCCTGGGTTTTTCCTGGGGGTTCTTTGTGGGTATGTCCGGTCTCATCGAGCGCCAAATGTCCATCTGCCAACCCCCCCTCCTTTCGTTTTGTTTCATTACCCAGACACTCCATGGGACTGCCATATATGCCGATCAGTTGGGGTGGTTTGAGGGCTCAATGTAGGCATACATGGCATACATGGAGTGTCTGGGTTATGTTTCATTAATTGTTCATCGTAGAAACCTGAACACCCACACATACTTGTGTTTTCCTTTGGAGAAGGAATGTGCTGGTTTGAAGGTGCTCAGTTTTGCCACCCCCGAAAGCAACAGGAACCCTCTTATCCTCGAGAAAACTGACTGCCACATGCAAGCTGCTCTTTGCTCCCTTGCAATCAACATTAATCATTTGGATTTACTTAATAAAACCAATCCTTTAAAGCTATACTATAGGTCCACCTCAAAAGTCCCTGTCAGGTTCATCGCCCTTCGCTCTGAAACGCCGTCCGCAGCTGATCCAGCTGCCCGTCCGTTCGATCCCAAAACCGTTTGCCACGCGCATGGCATGACTCGTCGCCACTCGTCGCGCCTTCTCGTTGAGCGATTCCGCATCCAGCGCCTGGTCAACCGTGTCCTTCAAGAAGTCCACGTGGCCGGGCCAATCCTGCCGAGATGGACCATATATGCCCAGGCCGGGCTCCTGGCCCATCTCCTCAGGTGGTTAGACCCCCCAAACCACCCACTCCAGGGTCTTAGAGACCTATGGGGGATGGGGGATGTCAGCTCCAACCTCCTGCAGTTCGGTGTTACCTGACGGAGGTACTGCACAAGGAATCACAAGGACACCTCTAGAGTTCACTCTCCAACAGAACCCCCGACTGGTGAAATTCACACCCCGTGAATTTAAATTCGGAATCGGATGGAATTGCTTTTTCCCCGCATGGGCACAGTAGCACACCTGCACCTTGCATATTATATCTTGCATTCCTGCACCTTGCTCATTATATCATTGCATATATCTTGCATTCAATTTCCCCTTCCACAGATCCTCACAGTTCCCCCCCTTCCAGCGCCCCGTCCCTCACCCACCGCGCCGTCCGTCCGGTCCCGTCCTCCAGCACGGCCGTGGTGCGCGGATTCACGGAGACCAACACACCGGAGTCCTGGCGTGCGTCGGTTAGGCTCAGGTGTTCGGTCTACTACGGAGACCGAACCGACCGATCACCGGTGGAGACGACGACACGGGAAAAACCCGTATGATCATCCTGCAGGGGTTCGGAACTTAGTTGGATCTGTAGGGAGGGTCTGACTTCAGATGTGTTTGTCCACTGCAAGCAGCTTTAAGGACCTAAGGACCTGCACTGTGCTGCTTCAGGTGGTGCTGCCTGCAGTGGCCAGTGTTGTGAGCACTCTTCTGCACGTGGCCAACGATGGCTGTCTGATTGCTTTGTGGGTGACTGGTCAGGCATTGGTTGTTTTTTTGAGGGTTTTGGTCTTCCCCATTAAGATGTAGAGTTGCCAGTTGATAAAATAGCTGATGGCTAGATTCTCAATCTGTGCTGCGTGCTCTGGCCAATGTAGCCCACCAGACTGGCAGATCGCTCTTAGAAGCCACGAAAAGCCAACAGAAACCACCCCGCGAAAGCCAACAAAGGACACCCAAAGCCAACAGAAGCCACCAAGCGTGGACACAAATTCAAAAAATGGCATAAATTCCTTCAAACATACCAGGTGCCACATTCAAGTGCTGACTCCCGAGCCGTTTCCCTGAAGAATAGGCCGGTGAACCTCTTTTCACCGGTTCTTGTTTCGTGGGAGACGGAAGACTCAGACTGGCACGTTCACGAACTGAGCAACCGGTGAGTATCCACCCAGCCAGGCCCTCTGGCAGGAACTTGGCAAACTCCTTGTAGTTTATAGAGGCTATCATCCACTGCAGTAGCAACACAACAAAGCAGCAGTTTTGCAAGGCGCTGAAGAACTGATCCAAGTATAGTGGTGCATCCATCTCATGACTCATGACTTTGTGTACTAACTCTCAACTTTCAGCTGTTCCGAAGCCGCTCACAATGTAGAAGCCTCCTGACACAGTCACGACACTGCACAAACAGCAGCAAAGACCGTGTCCCGTCTCCACGTATGAACGCCTTACGACCACCAGACTGAGCAAGTGAGGCTTTCCACTTCCATAGTTGGTGCGTCGGAGTGTGTTTTGGCAGAACAGCAATGTGTGTTGAGTGTACGACAGATGAAACAGCAAACATAACATTGCCATATGGAGAAAAAACATGAACGTGTGCGGTGATTTTGTCCACTTGAGACAGCTCCAAGACACTCAAAAGAACTCCAACAACACCAACCACCTTCAACAGTAGTCATGCACTTTTCAAGCACACCAAACCCAAACCAAAACCCCTCAAATCTCCCGAGTCCTCCTCGCTTCTTGGTGGACATCCGGAGGCTCCCTCTCGGAACCCCCGCGAACGGCTCTCTTCTCCGCTCTGCTCCGATCAAACGCGAACGCGTTCGTCCCAAGCCGCTCGTCTCCCGCCTTCTCGGACCAGCTGGCGGAGGTGCCGAAGAGGGGAAGCTCCATGCCTCACAGTACGGTCGGTGTCGGAGGTTCCTTCGAACGGAGAGGAGAGGAGAGGTTCATGTGGGCCACGGTCGGTGGGCCCAGTGACGGTCGGTTGCTTTGGTATCTTGGTCAGAAGATGTTTAGGACATGTGTCTTTGGATTCAGCTTAAATGTTTGGAAGGTCCAATTTTGTTGGTTAAAAGAACACATGAATCAAGACAGGTTATCAAGGATGCCCAACATGTTGCTGCATGTTGACCTATTTGTTGACCAAGAACATCCATTGGGTGCATTTAAAAAGTCAGGTCGTTTTGGGTGGTTTTGAAAGACTACTCTCTCCGAACTGTTTCTACAAACAAATTGTCTTCCAGGGCGGGGCAATTTGCTTCAGGCAGTGTAATCTCTTACCCTAGGGATCCCGTCGTACCCTTCTCAGGTACGACTGGACCCGAACATGGCACCTACATAACAGTGTCTCCGTCCTCACCGTACCTTATTCGGTTCGGTACGACTGGATCCCCAAAAGGGGTTTTGTTGGACGAGCGTAGACCGTCAAACGCTTCCCAACCTTGAGGCCAGCCAACTACTGTCGCATGCGACAGAACACACCACGTGATTCGTCACGCACTTTTGGTAGTCTGGTCTAGACCTAGAACCCTGTTAACCTATGTTTTCATATATATGGGTAAAAGGCTATCTTATATTTTGGGTGTTTGATGGTGTTTGGTGGTCCAAATTAAGATCACTCAGGCTCTAGGTCATGTTTAGACCAAACTTGAGGATTGTTATATATAAGTACGGTTTCTATCGACGATACTGTTTTTATCTGCAGTGTAGATCAACACTGTTTTTTTGTTGATTCTTCTTGAACTCCCGAAGAAATCAGTCCCCAATCATTCATAGGATTCTTCCCGGTCACATGGGGGGGGTGCCTACATGTGCCTATAAGCCTCGTACATGCCACCATTCAACACCATCCTTCACCATCCTTCTCCTTCGCGAAGCACTTCCGAGCCACGTTGGAAGGCGCTCAAGCACTTCCGCACACGCATCTCCCGACGCATCTCCATGGTCATGGGCCGCTCCTGGCGCTTTTCAGCGGCTGAAAAGCCCCAACAGGATGCAACCCAATACAATAAGGAACTGGAAGATTGGCGTTGAGATCTTTTGAGGGGCGTAGGGCGTAGGTAGACATTCCATACCTAAACATGCCTAGACAATCTATAGGCCTTTCAAAATAGAAGGTTCGGGGCTTTCAGGATCCGGACTCCTGCGAAGGTGTCTCATTTTTCTGAAGAATTCTCATAACAAAATGCAAGTATGTTCTATGTTCATACAATCTGCCATATCTTTTGCACATCATATGTTATATAGTCCTCTTTATAGGCCTTGTTGGCCCCCAAAAATGGAACCTCGACTTGCTTCCGGGCTTCGCTGACGGGCCGCAACCCTACGCAAGCAAGCGAAAGCATCGGTGAAATCAGTGACCCCCCGTCAGCCGGGGGAGAAAGCGTGGTGCGATCCGAGCACCACCCCCAATTAGGGCTCCAACTACCTGCTGAGAGGATGCTTGGGGTGGGTGCCGGCCCGTGCCCACCGAACCTGACGATGTGGGCCAGGAGCCCTATAGGGCACAAATGACCAAAGACCGGAAGGCATTTGGGGATGAGGAAGACACCGGAAACTCCATGTGTGGATGCCCTGTCCTGTGTGTGGATGGTACGACTGGAATGCTCTAGGGGCGCCTTTTTCCCCCAACAAAACAGAACGGGGAACTGCCTGGTACTCTTGAAGACCTCCCATCTTCTCCTGAAAGACCATCTCACCAGGGCGAAGCTCAGTCACCTGCCATCGCATGCATGCTGGGAAGGTCGGATGGTGAGCTCCAGTGCTGAGAGGACCATGGAGAGTCTGGGGCTGCGCTGAGCGGCTGAAGTCTGGGCCCCAAAAAATCGGACTTGGAGCAAAAAGGTCGGGTAGGAAGATGTGATATGGGCACATCTGCAAATCTGCAGGTGCTTGATCTATGACTATAGTTATGTTTGTTTCATACAACAACACCCCCTCTGATGACGTCTCATGTGCTGTGGCTCTAACTGGTCAGAGGAATAAACACAAAAAACAACAGCCTTTTGAGGGTCCTTCACGGTCACTCCTCATATGGTTCTGGATCAAAACGGGACCCTCGTGCACCAGCGAACATGAACAGAAGATCTTGATCTACATGACTAATCGGTCAACCGATTTAGGGTAAAAGGCTCCGGGTGCCATGACCCACAAGCCATGTAATATGTTGAAATATGTTGAATACTGTGTTATTCGCTCTATTCAGTCCGTCTTGGGGTGAGGTGATCACCATTATTATATATAGAAATTATTCCCTTCAGAACACTCCTGTCAGGCTCTTCCCTGTGTCCTTCCGTTAGGGTTTGCGCCTAGGCTAAGAGGTCGAACCAAAAACTAACAAGTCCAGCCTGTCTTTTGCGAGCTGCAAGATGTTCGAAGGAACCATGTATGGGACGTGAAACAAACATTCAATCAAACACAAACATGCATGCTCTGAAACCATGTGACAAACGTCCCTTTTTCCCAACCACGGCCCCTCCTCCCCAGTTTAGTTAGTCACCGACGGAACGGCCCGACGGAATGCCATCGCCTTGGGTTTCTTTGCCACGATGGCCCTGAGGTAGGCGCCGGGCAGTTGCTGGACGATGGCCACCGACGTGAAGAGCGCGGTGACCTGACGGCGGTCTGTGTGCAGGATGAGTCCGACGCAAGCGTGAGCTGGATAGGAGGGTGGCAGTAGGGGATGGATGAATGTTTTGGGGAGGATGGCAGGTGTGCCAAGGGTATCTTGGCAAAGGGGTGAAGTAGATAATTCACTCTGAATCACATGGCAACATAGAATGCTCCTGGTTCCAAAACCGCGCTTGGTCCCAGCTCCACGGTTCATTCCCCCCCAAAGACAGCGAACCCTGACCGGTCTTTTGGTCTTTCGGGTCCTGTCCACCGTCTTTAGAGAACCATGATAATGATATTCCACCGTCTTTAGAGAACCATGATAATCATATTCCACCACCGTAGACCCCAAACAGTTTGTGTTCTTCAAAATCGGAACACTCTACAACAAGAGCTTTCGACCTCCAGAGCCGGGACACAAAAGATTGCAAGGCAAAGGCGGGCACAACAGTCCAGAGCTGGGAGACAAAGAAAGGATTGCAAGGCAGAGGCGGATACAGTAGTCTAGACCTGGGAGACACATGCAAAGGATTGCGAGCACAAATGTACAGGATTGCAAGGCCCAGAACTGGGAGACAATTGTAAAGGATTGCAAGCGAGAGGCGGACACAGCAGCCCAGAGCTGGGAGGTTGGCACCGCGCGACAAGGGGGGAGACAAGAAGGAGACAAGACCGGAGACAAAGGGAGAGAGTTTGTCTCCCAGCTCTTGGCTGCTGTCAGGAAGGGAAACAAGAAGGGAAAAAAGGACACAGAAAGGAGACAAGCCGGACACAGTGACCAACAAGAAGAGAGACAAGAAGGGAGACAAAAGGAACCAGAAGGGAGACACGGCGGACACATGACCCACAAGAAGGGAGACAAGACCGGAGAGACCAAAAGAAGGGAGACAAGAAGGGAGACAAAAGGAGAGAGAAGGGAGACAAAACGGAGACAGTGACGAACGAAATAGAAAAGGGAGACAGAAGGGAGATAAGTGCCCAACAAACAAGGCGGACACAGTGACCAACAAGAAGGGAGACAAGAAGGAAGTCAAAAGGAAACAGAAGGGAGACAAGGCGGACACAGTGACCAACAAGAAGGGAGACAACACCGGAGACAGAAGGGAGACAAGGCAGACGCAGTGACCAACAAGAAGGGAAACAAAAGGAGACAGAAGGGAGACAAGGTGGACGCAGTGACGAACAAGAAGGGAGACAAGACCGGAGACAAAGGGAGACAAGGCGGATGAATGACCACCTAGAAAAGCATTGAGAACACCTAACAATAACCTGCTTGGGAAAGTTAAACCGGATAGGGCACAGCCAACCCTATGGTTTAATGATATGAAACGAAGTACGGCTCCCGAGCCCTGACCCAGGCTTTTCCGCAGGACTTGAGCCAAATGCAAGGTGATATAAAAATAATGTATGGCTACCACCAGGGAGGGTTGTTTCACATGTATTTTCTCAACTCCCCCCTCAAGCTGTACATGGTTGACAGAAATGCGCTTGAAGCACAGTTGATTTCCGGTATATATGCAAGAACGGCGCACACACAATTCTTAGTCAGTTGCAAACTGCAAGTCATGGTGCAGATGCATAACTGACGGAGGGCCTCAGGACGGATGGCGCCTCATTTGCGCACACATAATTCCCCTCAAATCCGCACACAGACTTTTATATATTTAACTCAAATGCGCACACATGATTCGCCTCATCTGCGCACACATCGATTACATTCCTCTTTAAACAGCCCATGTTACCCCAAACTCAAATGCGCACACATGATTCGCCTCATTTGCGCACACACAAATTGAGTCATGATGATCTCTTTTTGCTCATTGCTTCGTTTGATTGATGATGTGTTAATAACGTCCCTCTGGACATTCATCTACATGATGATCTCTTTTTGCTCATTGCTTCCACAGGTTCACGTCACACAGACGCTCTGCGTTTGATTGATGATGTTGGGTTGGGATGGGTGGGTGGGTGGGGGAATAATTCATTCATTCATTCATTCTTTCTTTCTTTCTTTCAGCCGTGTAAGGCGCGTGTACAGCCGAGGAAGCCGCGTGCACATCCGAGTTTCGCGTGCACAAACAAGATCAATTCTCCGCGTGTACATTCGAGGGAAATTCCGCGTGTACAGACGAGGCTCCGCCCCTCAGGACAAAGCATTGGCGGCATCACTTTGGTCAAGGAATTTGCACGCTGAGATTCCGAGGCACATTAATTAATGTTAAATACCCCCTGTTCTAGCAATTCGCGGACCGATCCAAGATTCACTCTATGGACTCTGTTGGCTCCACGGAGCTTGGCACTGTAGACAGCCTTGACAACCGTCATTGCTGCCTGGTTGTCCTGCTCGAAAAGAATATCAACTTTTGATTCTACCAAGGTCTCTATCATTGTATGCAAATGCAATGTTTCTCCGAATAGTGCGCCTGCAAAAGCGATTAATTCAGCCTCAGTGGTGCTTGTTGCGGTTGTTTCTTGCTTTGCCATATGGTGGGACAGCATGATTGGCCGGTGTGGATGACAATGGGTGGTGCTGATGAATGACGGAGAATGGTGATCTCATTCTGCAACATGGCAACCTGGCTCACCAAAGCTTGGTGATCCTGTCTTTGGGATTCCAGTAGATTGGATTGAGATTCAATCATGCTGGTCAACTCAGGTCAACTCACGGTTGCGTGCCTCTGAAACCTGCAACCTTTGTTGGGATTCATATACGGCCTGTTGGGCTTCACTGAACGCTTGATGAGCATCATCCTGAACCTGTGCAAGTTCCTTCTGATGATTGGCTTGCAATTCACTCACTAGGACATTGGCTCTATGTTCAACACCTCGGGAATGTGCCTGAGCTTCATGTTGAATACTTTCAACCTGACTACGGGCAGCGTGGAGAGCTGCATGTGCTTCAGACATAATCTGGGCTTCACGGGCAATGACTGCATTCGGATCAACACCGACATTTACCTGCAATGACCTTCGGTCTTGGTGGTGCATGAACGTCCTTTGATCTTGGTTATGCACAACGGTGTGTTGAACCGACCTTTCATCGCGCATGTGAAGAGCACTGGTTTGAGCTCGTGTCATGGCAACAGACCCTGGACCCCGATGCCATGGCGGACCTGAAGCGGGCCGGGATGATGACCTACCACTGCTGCTTCGCGATGAGCTATCGGCACTTTGTTTGGTGTTGGACTTTCTTACCTGTAGAGCTCTTGATGGAACAGCTTGAACCGGTTGCTCTGGTGATCTTGTGAAAAATGTTGCCCTTGCCACCTTTCGCACGGGCCTGATTGGTCCTCAATGTGGCCTTGATGGATTCAAACACAGCTGTCAGGTTCCAGCAAGATCTCACACCTCCTCCCGGTGTTCCAATCCGCGGTACCCTGATGTGTGCAGCCGACCACAAAGGATTCTGTTGCCCACCAATCTCCTCACACACACACACCCACGTTGTCGTCGATGTGCAAGAGGGATTGACGTGGAGAGATGATTTCAAACAAGCAAGACAGTTTCCCCGTGTATCCAATAGGTGCTTTGCCCTGGCACACAAGAAATGTGAGGACTCTCGTGGCAAGCTTGAAGAACCTTATCGAATCTATAGTCTGTATGCACGTAGGAGAACACAACCACTGTGAATCGAAGAGACAATTCTCGCACCTAGGGAGAATCTTACCGTCCTCGTCCGGTCGCTCTGTCTTCTTTCCTTCGCGATGGATGTCAAGAACTTGATGAAAATCAACTGAAACAAGACTGCCTTCTTCGAAAAACAGCTGCCTGTCAGGATAAACACGAGTACCGTCACCCCTTCTGCACGCGTACCAGTCAATCCAAGCTTCAGATGATTCCTCTTCCTCTGTGTCGTCGACGTCGATCACTGCCTGGTTCGAAGATGCTATACTGCTTGATTGGAAGAGCTCGCAGGCGCTGACGCAAAATCAGTAGATGAAGATGCTTGATATGCAGCACGAACTCCCCTTTCCAACTGCACGTTCGAAGATGCGACACGAGTGTTTGCAAGATCAAACTGCTGCAACCTCACTTGAAATTACTGCGGCGGATCCGGAGGTCGTTCTTCCTCCTCGTCGCTAATCCAATTCGGCTCAGCAATGTTTGAATCCAAATCGTCACTCTCGTCCCTAGGCAACAATGGCTCGCCCTGGCCTGGCAACCAGTTCACCCAAGTATGGGCAGTCTCAGCGGCCACTCTCCGACTGTCGCAACTGGCGGGAACAACGCCACCTAGAGTAATTGACCAATGCCTGAACCACCTCTAGCGAACCATTGGCAAGAATGTCAACACACAAGTCGTCAGAACACAACGTTCCAACTTCGGAAGGAGAGCCCTTCTTATTTTGGAGAAAGATTAAAGCACACCTGGTGTGCAACTCTGCAAGTTTAGTTGCAATTACAAAACATTCCCCAAACACTCCATGGGACTGGCATATGCAAAAATACAGTAACCCCACTCTGGCACCAACCCGGGGCGGTAGCCAGTCCCATGGAGTGTTTGGGATTGGACCTTGCACTGTCCAAGTTGACCCCTCCATCTTCGCTGACTCCAAGTGGCCAACAAGGCCACCGGCCGCAACCACCAGGCCTTGCGGGTGACCGGCTCGGTGCGGTGCGGCCGATTCGGCGAACGCGCACGTCGAACCCCCAAACTGAGACGGTCTGGCCATGGCGGTTTATATGGGTGAATGTAAATATGCCAGTCGTGTGGAAGTGTTTTAAAACAGATCTGTTTGAAGAAGGGGGTGTACCAACCTCTATAGCCATAGGCCATAGGTTGGGTCTATCCCATGTCTATGGTGACTGTCGATGATGATTCGGCTAGGTTGCAGGCCTTTCCATCTTCCCCAAAATAGGGACACTCTTTCTGTTTCAGGTCATCAGCCATGAATCTGCAGTTAACACAGCTCATGTATGGCTCGGCTCGGACTCGGACACATGACATCGTGACACACGTCTACGTCGACCCCCAGTCAACCAGCCACCTCTGGCCGACCTTCTCACCTTCGAAAGCGGCTATTTCTTTACTTGGAGTGTCTGCCCTAAGGATCATTGGACCCTCCGAACTGGAGGGTGACCTGACCCTGCAGAACGCAGGGGGACCCTCAAAACCTTCACCTTTGAGGGTCCTTGATCCTTAGGGTGGGAACAATCCATCTTGGGGGTTGAGACCGGGTGATCATGGTCGACCGGTGATGTCTAGCTCGACCTCTCCGGAGTCTCCACGACCGTCGCCCCGACCTCCGCCCCCGCACCTCGGTGGACTCCCAGGCCGCGGTCCAATGAGCGCCGCTGTCCCTCTTGCCTGACCCAGTGCACTGAACGCGGGCACGTGAAGGAATAAAATTCTGCCAAACACGTAACACGTAGTATGTCTTGTTTAAGCAATGTATGCAGTATGCAAGCAACCTAAACCTAGAACTCCTCCATTTTGGGGTTGATGGTCTTGCCATGTTCTTCTGTTCTTGGTTCTTGGATCCCGTTTAACCCCCCCCCCAAAAAAAGAAGGCACCCTCGAGGTAGTTCTCTTCGCATCCTCCTTCTGTTCGCTGCATCCTCGTCCGATCGGTTGACCTTGAAGTGAGTCTTAAGCGGGTGAACGCTCTGCCCTTTTTCGCGCGACTGGTGCTGGAAGTCCGAAGTCCGGGGTGCGCTGTCCTGGGCTTCTCTCCCTGTCATATTGACTCATCCCTCCCAGCGAACTGAGAGCAAGGACGGATCCGAACGGAGCATTTCGGGCATCGCGACGAACGGAGCGATCGGACGCTACGCTACTAGGGCTCCTGGCCTTACTACTAGTAGCAAGAAGCTACTAGTATCTATACATGTATCTACCAGTATTCTAGAAGAATAGAGAGCCAGTATAAACCAGTAGTAGTTTATCAGTATTCTCTACCAGTATTCTATAAACAAGAGAAGAGTCCGAACGGAGGGTGCCGGTTCCGGGCTGCCCCCGACGTCACATCGTCACATCCACGGCTGGCTGGGACGAAGAAAACCACCTAACTCCCGGTCCCTCTGCTGAAAAAAGCCCCTACAAACACCGGAGAAAAGGCACATCTGACCTAATTTCCGAAGGGATCGATTCGATGAGAACTGCTCGGGACTGCTGGCGGAGCCCTGCGACGGAATGTCTGAGCTCTGAAGGCGCCTTCGGCGGTGCGTCGCGCAGCACGGAGCCAGGCTGTGGCCGCAGGAGCCTGGTGTTGGTAGCCGAAAGTAGTTGATGGCTTTGAAGACCATCGTAACAGATCGGAACTAATCAGTTCGAAGGTCTTTGAACAGATTGGGGAGGACACTGAGTACATGGTTTTTCTAGGTTTTTCTTGCTACAAGTGATTCACTATATAGGAGCTTGGTTGCCTACAAAAAAAAAAACAATTTGCAATGGACCAATGGCAAGGCCGGACTGGAAGCTTTTCAAGGGGACCCATTTGAAAACCACACCATAAGGACAACACAAAGAAACAAAAACGCTGCCAGAACTTGTGGTTGAATGTTGAAGATACTCGAACAAACAGGCTGGAGCCCAAAATCAGGGATTGCTCTTATTGTGTCTGGTGCAGGTGCAGAAAAACACGTGTCAATTCTATATAGAAAGACGTCTTGGTTTTCAACCACCCACCAGGTGACCGCGACCGCTTGTGCCGTGCCCAGCGAAGATCCCGCTTCACTCAGCCAGGTGACCGCTGCGACCGCAACAACCAGCGTCCTTTTCCCTAGGGCTCCAGTCGTACCGAACCTAAGAAGGTGGGACTGGGGTGGGTGCCACGAGGGTCCAGTCATGCCTTCTAAAGCGGCCGGAGCGGGCTCCGCTCGCCTCAGACGTGGGCGGCGGCTCCGTCTCCAAGGTCCGTGTACTGGAGATTCCTTCGGGCACGGCGTGCGCGTGAGGTGAGCGCGTGGCACGAGGGTGTGGAGGTTCATAGGGCCGAAGGCATGCCTCGGGGATGATAGTGTGATGGTGAGTGTCCCCAGACACTCCATGTGCCATATATGCCTACATTGGGGTGGTTTTGGGGGTCAATGTAGGCATATATGGCATACATGGAGTGTTTGGGGTCTGTGTGTTGGGTGGGTTGAGAACTCCTGAAGACTTGAGCCCAGGATGGCGCCCGAGATGCGAAGGTCGACCGACCGGTGAAGCCAACCGGTGACCGGTGAAGCGACCGTTGAGTGGCCAAACACCTCCCCCCCAAAAGGCTTCAGAGGCCAACCCCGACCGTCTCACCGAAAACCTGGTGGTTACGTGGATGGGAACACCCCCCCTGTTCGTAAGGGAAAGTGGTCTTCCGTCCAGGACACCGGACGTGACTGCCACGGTGGCACACCATGTGTTCTGTGTTCGGACCCGAGTGTAGCCTAAGGTTCTCCACGGAATGGGGGATCGAGTCGCCCTGAGCAGGAGGAGATGGACTTCATGTCACCTCCATTTTGGTGGAAGATGGACTTCCACATCCCGAACATCACAAGTGGAGGGTGTCAGAAATCATTGGCTACAGCTTGGGTCAATTAGTGGAAAACTTCACTGATTCAGGGCCTCTTTTGGAGAGATGATGCTTCATAGGGGGCATGCATGTCAGTGTGTAGTGTAGCTAAAACACACGATCCTTGGTGAGAATTCATGACTTGGCTCCCTGAATCACTTCAAGCCGATCTTTAGTAAGGCTTGGACCACTTCTCTGACTTGGAGACCGTTTTTGTCTGCCACATCCAGAGGGTTCACCGAACAAACTCCACCTGTTCTCGTTGATCCTTCGTTTGGCATTGTCCAGCCATCATGTCCAGCCCATCATCAGTCCAAGCTGCTTGAAAAGCATAGGTCCAGTGTCTGGTAGACCACCACTGTGAGCAACACTGGCACAAGGCTTCGGCCAGCCACGCGGGCCATGCGGGCTGCTGTGCCAGCTGCCGCGCCACTTCGTGCACGCCCAGGCGAGACCGACATCATTGCAAAGCCCAAGAAATGCAAATGTTGTGACTCTTCGATTCACATGACTTCAAGACTTCGATCTGTGCTCAGGTATGCTGACCTACTATGCTTTCTTGAGGTTGACATTATGTAGCTTGAGGATGATGTCCCCTTGTTTGATTTGTTTGATTCATGAGCCCTATAGGTAGCAATGAGACAAGAATAACAATGAAGCTCTTGAACCGCGTCCCGACCATCGGTCGTAATAATTAGGTCCTCTTTCTGTAGGTAGAACTCAACAAGAAGAGCTACTGGTGGTGTTTCTATTCCGGACTAAACCTGTGGCTGGCTCGTTAAGATTTACCCTGGCCCAAAATCCGAGGCTTAAAGGTGACTGAATCCGAGGCAAAGGATTATGCAAAGAGGGATTGACCAAGTGGTAGGATCATCATACTATATCATACGAAAGGCCCTGTAGGTCCAGTCGGACGAAACAACTGCACAACTCCAGTAAACTCAGATCAGTTCCTGACCAGTAAGTCTTCCAGAAAGAGACTATCATATATATCACTATGATATACTGACCTCATTTTACTAAAGCTGTACAAAAACACATAATGAAAAGCCGGTTGTTTGGTCTCAAGTTTCACTGAGACTGGACTGCCACGTGTTAGTGACCACCTGACGTCGTTCGCACCTGACGTTTTTGTTCTGGAAAAAAAAAAACGCGAGCGAACTGAGAGAACTCACACTTGCCAAAGTGAAGGTGTACAACGAACTGGTGGATATCCTCTAAGACTCTAAGTGTAGACTCTTGATTAATGTAATAAAACCCGCACACCAACAAAGAAAAGAACAAACATGGATTGTAAAGCCTGCATGGGAGTTTTTTTTTAGAATCAAGAGTCCACATTAGAAGCAAGTCTCATCTATCCAAGCTTGAAACTGACGGGCCTGGCCCTGTTGTTCTTGAGCTTATACCACCAAGCCGATTGAAGTGCCCTGAAACTTCCAATTCCTTGTTGGGTACCAACCTCGCAAGAAAAACCTCGGAATTGTTTCGACTGCTGCAGTCATCCTTTAAAGCTCTAACAGGACTCTCCTTTAATGCACTACCACCTCCATACCTATGCACCAAATGTGAGCGGCTGCCAAAATACATCCCTTCCCACCTGCGTTTACGGATGCAACCCCACCCATCCAAAGATACTTAACGATAAAGACTTCGTCCAGACGATCAAGGTCACATGTCATCCCCGGTGTTCATAGGGGTCCAGGTGAAAAGGCCTCGGACTCGCTGGGTGGTTTTTCTACACACTCGTCTACGCGAATCCATTTCATCCAAACGCCAGGGCCCCAATGGCCACTCGCCAGGGGCCCCCGGCAACTGATGATCGGTGCGCAACCCGTCAGCTCCTTAGATGGGGTCCGGCTGAAGGGGCGGAAAGGGCGGTGAAAGGGCAAATGTTGACTAGATGGTTGCTGCATGTGAGACCCATGTGGGTGTGGCCAGAAATAACCTATATAGTTATTCTAGTTTGGATACATGAAGAAACATGGGGAACAAATTAAACTGGGCTTTGAGCACAAGTGCTTCAGCCTGGGACCCTGGGAGTCTCTTTGCACCGATGCTCAGGTCAATGATATACTTTCCTCTCCTGCCATGGCTTCTGCGGCCACCAGCACCACCAGATCAGAAGCCTCCGGTTTTCACAAGCCTCCGGTTGAGGGGTTGTCCACGTCTTCTGACATCAATGGTCGGAAGCTCTGGAGTTTCCATGATCTCATTTGGGAGTCTTCAAAGCATTTCCAACCCACCTCATCGTCACGAAAACTAGCAGACATTGGATCCACCCAGGTCAGGTTGAAACATAAATAAAGTATTTCTACACTGGAGTAGTGACCTTGAGGAATGTCCCCGATCAAAACACGGTTCATGTGGAAAAAGAACCAGAAAACACCGACCATCGATTTTGAGAGCGGAAGGTTTAACATGGTTTCACAGAGCTGAAACTCCAGGTCTCTTCGATCAAACAGTTTGAGACTATGATAACTAAGAGTTCTCCCGCTCTCCCCCGCAAACCCCCACCCCTCTGGGTGGCCATCAGTGCTTCCACGGGGCCATCGGTGGCGCTTGACATCCTGTGTTGGGATGCCCGCCGCGACACGTGGCTCTTGGACTCCCAGCAAAGCCTCTCGGTCGGGCGGTGGGCGGTGCGTGTTAGGCGCTGCGGTGCTTTGGGGACAGCGAGGGGTTTTGGCGAAGTCTGCGCTGGCCCTGCGTTTGCTGTGCGATGTGCGGCGGACACGGCAAAACACATAATAAGATTACATTTGGATGAACATGAAGAAGCAAAGAATGATGATGATGATGATGATGACGACGGTGACTCTTAGCATTGCTTAGGACCCAACCTCTTCATCTCCACCAGAGCGACGGACAGACTCCCTTTATCTCTCCAACCAGACTGACACGCCATGGGATGCCATGTGATATAAACGATCAGTCTCTACTACACCCAGTGATGATCACTGATGCATATCTGCGAACATCAGCACATGGAGCAAGAACATCAACCTTTCACCGATGTTTCACACGGTCCCAGTCGCCATGTCGTTTCGGTGTTCACCACTTCACCGGTTCTGCCTGGAGCACACAGCTCCTGCAAGCCGCTGTAGATGTAGCCCATGGGTGGCGGCATCGGGCGCGCACAAAAGGGGATCTGACCACACGCGGCTCGGCACCGTGGAGACTTCCGGCTCGTTATGGCTCGGTCGAGCTGGGGCAAACGCGACGTGTTGAACCGGCTCCCTCAACTTGGTGCTTAAGCAACTCCCTCAACGTAAGAGCGAGTGCATCACATAAGCACTCGTGAGTGAATGCATGAATGCATGAAGAACATGTGTTGGCATCATGTATTTGTTCTGTATAAATGGCTCCAAGATGCTCCAAGAAAGCTTCCCCAAAGGTGTTTCGGGTGTTTTGATGTCGGAGCCTCTAGGGATTTGTTTGTCTGAGCCTCATGAGTCTCTTTAAATACTTCACAGAAACGTCTGCCTGAGGATGTCAATCTCTAACTTGTTGGGATGTCAATCTTGTCTCTATGGCCAGTCATTTTAGGGCCATGGCAGCATTGGGATGCTGAGAGGTACCAAGAGATCGGATCCTTTTTCCTTCTCTAGGACTCTAGGAGGTGCTCTGGTTTTCAGGGGTGAATACCAAGGGATGCTTGAGCTCATGTCCTTCCATCTTGCACTGCCCTAACTTACAGGGTCCTTCGACCAAGATGTCCATGACCAGTTCCAAATGCACCCCACCACAACGGCCGCATCTGCTGCATCTGTCAGAGACAAAGGATGGTCAGACCAACATGGGATTCCCTTTGCCGAAGGGTCCACCACATACCCACCTTCCCGCCGGTACCAAGCCCCCCAACATGATGCTCCCGTCAAACCCACCCAACCAGCGGGGCGGGTCCGTGGTCCGCGACCAGCCTGGCATCTGGGTGCGGTCCAGTTCAACATCTCCAAAGGATCGGTGTTCTCCCCACGGCAGCTGCCCGTGGTCGCCATGCCCACGAAGGGCGGCCGGCAACGACTGCAGTGTCGCGTCGCGGCCGAGCGAAGGCGACGACGAGAGCGGGCACGCGGCGTTGCTTGACCCTTCAACAAGCGAAGCCACGGAAGAAGCCCCTCAGGTTGATGTGGAAAGATTCACCAAACCCTTTCACCTGTTCTTGTTTAGTGGAGAAACCAATCTCCTCAAGGTTTTTAAGATTGCGCACTGACTGGGTAGGTCTAAGATCTTCCAAAGGAAGGACCTTCACGTCGCTTCTAGTGACTGACGTGAAGAGGAATTCACAATCAACAAAGACACCTTTACCAAAACCCATCCACTCAACTCCCTGAAATAAGGTAGTAGATGGTAGTAGTAGTCCATGGTAGTCCATGGTAGTCCAGAAACATCCATGGTTTCCTGGAGTGCACCACCACCTGCTTGGTACACTGAGCCTGGATCTTCATGGGAACATCCGAGCTGAAACGGCCCGAGCCTTTCCCATCCCTTCCACGAAAGTGTGGTGCCTTGCGAAAGAAATCCCTTCGGGGCAACAACTGAAGAGTGCAGGACAGTCCGAGTTCTGAGTTCTGTCTCGGAGGTGTCTCGGAGGTGGGAAGACAAGACGGAAGCTTTGATCATCTGGCCACTTCTCAGCTGGGCTTCCTCGGAATATGGCTGTACGATTCGTGACACGACTTGCTGTAAACGGCGTAACTAGATTACAATCTTACCATCATGTCGGACCTTCGACCCCTGCAAATTGCAGATGTGTTAACAACTTAGAAAAGAACATCTGTAAAATTCCTATCAGAAACTTTCGGGGGAAAACAAAAGTTGATCAAATCCAAACTCCTCCTCTTGCTTTTTCTTGGAAGCGTCCCCTTCTTCCTTCCATCTTTCCAAGGCACATGGTGCATTCCTCACCCGCCCAGATGTCCCGGCACTCCGTGAGATCCAGCTCGCATTCCTCGCTTTCGCCGGAACCGAGCCGTTCCAGTCCCGGAAGGTTCCAGTCGACTCGAAGGATCAGAAGCAAGGTCGATCCAACCGAGCTCTTTAGGGGTAAGGTGATTTGGATCCAGCCGGTTTTTTTCAAAGCAAACTTAAAGACCTGGCTACACAAACTTCTTGAGGTGGTGATATGCATTGTGTGTCTTTTGGATAGGGAGACCTGGCCCAATAGGTCTTGGTCTATGTTCATTCTTCTAGGTGGTCTTTGGAGTCTTTGGGAGGTCTCGCTATTTCAATACATGGTCATGTGACTTTGGAACCACTGGAAGCTGCACCTGATAAGGATTCAAATAAAGAAGAAGTACCACTGTTCAGGTGCCCAATTTACGTGAACAGTTGGTCTTCTTTTTGGCGTTTTCAGACTGTAAACCTGTCAACAGAGTCCGAGCAGCGTCCACCACCGGCAGTT